TCTATCTTTAGTCCCGGTTGGTAACAAAGAAAATTTTACGAAAAAAATTGAATTTTTCCCGATTTTCAAATTTCTGAATTATTTTACAATTTAATCTCTAATCACCTCTCCCTCATCACTTCTTAATTTAACCTCTAATCTCTAATCACCCTTCATCATTCCAAATCATCTAACTTCCCGGCCGATCACCCATCCTCTCACTACTCCAGCCTGAGCACGCTTAACTTTCGGGTTCTATTCCCCTCGTTTCCAAGTCTGCACTTGTTGTTTTCCTGATAATAGTAAGATGTCAATCCTATTAACCCTCAGGAGTTTAGCTTCAACATGAAGTCACACGTTTCACTGTTTGAGTTTGAAACTATTATTCTAAAAAACAATAATTATTTAGTAACACTAATATTTCTTGAATAAGTAGTTTGACCAGATTTGACCAAAATTCAAAAAACTAGAATAATTATTTACTAACACTAATATTCTTGAATAATTATTTATTATCACTAATACTTCTTGAATAAGTAGTTTGACCATAGGTTGACCAGATTTAACCAAAATTCAAAAAAACTAAAATTTGAGCATAATTTTTGTTCCTTTTAGAATTTGAGGATTCTAAAAATTTGCAAAACAGCCTATGGCGGTCAAAATCGGATACGGATTTTCGTGCTAAACATTTTGATATATTATACATTTTTTCCGACATTGTATGCAAAAATTATAGCCGTTTTACTTTTTCATAACACGTTTTTGCAAAACATGTCCAATTGAATTTTTTTTATTTTCCTAACTAGTAGATGTAGTAATATAACTACATCTCGAAGGATTTTATTTTTTGGAGTTTTTATGATTTTCTTTTGTTTGGCGATACAGGGGGTAGAGTTTGAGACATGAAGCCCTTTAGCCCCGGTTCGTGTCTCAAATTAGGACTAAAGGTCTCATTTGAATCGGGACTAATGCCTTTAGCCGCTCGAATCGGGACTAATGCTCACATTAGTCCCTGTTGCATATTAGTCTCATTTCATAATGCAACCGGGACTAATGTGTATATTGAGTTGTGACCAAAGCTCTGGTTTCTACTAGTGCATGGCGTTAGGCTAGGACAGGATAACTCCATCTCACATCACACAATTATGAAACAATTGAATAACTACACATCACAGTTAGCTACACAAGGCATGCTCAAATATACTAAAAGGTTGAGTAAATGAAATCAGACTAACACAATGTGATGTGGATAGCAAAGCAGGACGGCAGAACACCACACCGCGCGGGCCTGTGCAGGCAGAGGATACGGCCCGCAAGCCCGCACCTGCCGCGCCTTGAAATACATCGCCTTTGGCGCCCAACGCAACCACCTCAACCAACAGCCTTCCTCGCCGGAGTCCCAAGAAACCAAGAACCCCGGCCCTCCTCTCCCCACCGCGCAGCAGCCCACCGCATCCGCCCTCCGGCGCCGGCGACCGATGGACCGCTTCCAGGACGGGCACCACGTGCGGCTGCGGAGCCGCGTGCAGGACACCTACCTCCACGCCGCCGACGACGGGGAGAGCGTCACCCTCAGCCAGCTCCGCGCCTCCATGAAAGCGGCGTGGGCGGTGCACATCTACAACGGAGAAGACGGCGATGGCTCCGGCGAAATCTCCGGCTTCGTCTCCCGCGCCGGCTCCCGCGCCAGCTCCGGCGTCGTCTCCGTCTCCGGCTCCGGAGACGGCGACGGCGACGGCGACGGCGACGGCGACGGCGGAGACGGCGATGGCTCCGATGACGGAGACGGCCCGTACCTGCTCCTCCACAGCGCCGCCTACGGCCGCTACCTCGCCGCCACGGACAGGCCGGCGCGGCCAGGGCACAACGGCCTCTGCACGGAGCTGCGCGACTACGATCAGCCGGAGGTGGAGGCCATCAAGTGGCGGGCTGTCGGGTCGGGCTTCGCGGACGACGTTGTCCTGCTCCGCCACGGCGACGGCCACTACCTCCGCGGCAACGGCAAGTACCTCCCCTGGAACTCCACCGGCGTCACCGTCGACGACAAGGCCAGCTCCATGATGTACTGGATCGTCGAGCCCATCCCCTTGAGAGAGGCTGGCATGCCTGCCATTCCTGCCCCGCTTCCGGTGAGCTCGCCATGACCCGCTTCTTGAATTTCTTTCAGTTGGAGATCTCCCGAACATAACCATGGCTAATGGTTCAACTGCAGACTCGCCCAAGATTCACGCCACGGGTGGCGGAACGGCAGATCAGAGGCGTCGAGCCCATCCCAGAAGAGGCGGGCATGCCTGCCAATCATGGCCCGGTGAGTTCGCCATGACCCGCTTCTTGAATTGCTCCTATCGATTGAGCGAATTGCAGTTGCTGATCGACATGGACTGAACTGCAGGCTCACCCAAGATTCTCCGGCATATTCACTTCTCCCGGACGGCGCATCCGGTTCGTGCGGGCGCTCGAGGACGGGTACTACCCCGAGGAGGTGAACAGCTGGCGCCAGTTCTGGTTCAGGGGGAGGTCCGCGTTCAGCCTGAGAGGCAACCTGGCGGACCTCGTCGTCGTGGACGGCCCGAACATCGCCATGTGCGTCCGAGCGGGCCGCCACGGGAGGCTCACCCCGCTCGTCGTCGACCTGCCCGACGGTGGCTATGGCGGGACCCTCGAGATCGTCGTCTTCCTGGCCGGGACCCTTGGTGAGTGAGAGCCTCTCTCCATATCTCCTGATGTGAAAACCGGTAGTCTTTGACAGCATTTGTTTTCCACGACGTTCAGACTTTGCTATAGTTTACTGAAACTGTTGTGGTCTGAAGAACAGTTTAGTGAATTTGTTCCAAGTCTGAAAAACAGTTATCTGAATCTGATGAAATCTGAAACTGGTAGTGCGAGGTGTCTGCAACTGTTCTAATCTTGTAGATAAGTACTCCCTCCGTTCGGAATTACTTGTCTCGGATATGGATGTATCTAGAACTAAAATACATCTAGATACATCCATTTCTGCGACAAATAATTCCGAACAGAGGGAGTAACAGAGAAGGTGGTGATGATATCCGTTTGATTTAGACCATTTTACTTGTGTTGAATAACCTGTGAACAAATTTAGGACTTTGGAGTTGTCTAAAACTGTTGTAGTCTTGTAGAAAAGTAAAAGTAGTTGGATGGAAATAGATTTCTCAGTTTGTGTAATAGATGGTCTGAAGCTAGTTGCAGATTTCAGTCATCTCATTTCACCTTGGCAAAGAAGATACTAATTTTCTAAACTGTGAAAATTCAGGTGGTACCTTACAACTGTTAGTGTAAGGTGTCTGCAGCTGTTGTAATCATGATAAAAGATGATTCACAATTATATGATCTGAATCTATTGAACAGTTTCAGATAACTGTTGTAATCTTGTAGATAAGTATTTGATATCACAGAAGATGGTGATATCAGTTTGATTTAGCCCATTTTAGTTGCGTTGAATAACCTGTCAACAAAATTCAGGCTCCAACAGTGGGAACTAAAATCTTGTTTCTGCACATCATTTGTATTCAGGTTTTGTACATGACCTGTAATATTGTGATACATTCTGTTACAACCTAGGAGTTGTCTGAAACTGGTGTAATCCGGTAGAAAAGTAAAAGTAGTTGGTTGAAAACTGTAGGTGTCATGTGGATTTATCAAAGCTAGTTGGACATTTCTGTTCTTGATTCAGATAATTCAGTCGTCCATTCCATATGTTTGCCGCTAGTTGAAATTATAGAAGCTAAAAGGCCAAATCAATTTCAGTCATCTCATTTCACTTAATTTAGTGAACAGATGTTGGTGTACATACTATTTTTCTGCATTAACATGATATTTGGAGTCTTACTTTAGTGGAGTGCTAATCTAGTCGTGCATGGAAAAAGGATATTATGATATGTTTTGTTCGGACTTGGGAGTTGTCTGAAACTGTTGTAGTCTGGTAGAAAAGTAAAAGTAATTGGATGGAAACAGTAGGTGCCATGTGGATTTATCAAGCTACTTGCACATTTATGTCCTTGATACATATATAATTTAATTTTTCCATTTTGTAACATCTGACGCCAGTAGAAATTATGGAAGCTAAAAAGCCAAATCAAGTCAGTCATCTCATTACACCTTTTCAGAGAAGATACTAATTTTCTAACCTGTGAATAAAATTCAGGTGGTACCTTACAGTAGTGTATAAAATCTGTAGTTCCTTGCACATTACATTGCTTCAGTTTGTTTTCTTCTTGATCTTGTTATTGATTATTGGTCTGCCGCCTAACTCGCTCATAATTTCTGCTAATTCAGGCTACGATGCGCTGCGATACCCGGATATCGATGCACAGTAAAGGAACATCAGAGCGGGAGTCCCGACAGTTCACCTGTTCACAAGTTTCGCTGCCTCGGATATGATGGCGTCAACTTTTGCCTATAGATGGATAGATACAGATTCAGAAAACTCAGCAGCTCTAGAAATACTGAAAGTGTTTGCGACCAATGGCTGAACAGTTTTGTAGTGATGCTGGAATGTAGTAGCCCTTCCGACATTCATCGTGTGATGTGATTGCCACGGCTTCGTAGACAAAGCGTTTCAATGTAGGGTACTCGCAATGAGTTGATGGTCCTGCAATTTTTTTGGATCATGCATTTCGCGTAACTAGAAAATACGTATCACCTCCTCCCCCCGTGACCTCCTCCCCCCGTGACCTCCCTGCCGGCCCCCCCTCTCCTCCCCGCCAAGCCTCCCTCTCCTTCCGCCGCCGCCGCCGAGGGCGTCGCAGGCTAAGCCTGCGGGCCGCAGCGGCGGCGGCGGCAATCTTCCTCGGCCGGCGATCGGATCTGGGTGGCGGCGACCCACTGCGGCCCATCCAAGGGCGATGGCGCAGGCCGGTGGCGACCAGGGTTGTCGTGCTGGTGGCGGCGATGAAGAGATCACGTCGGCGACTAGGGTGTCCGATCTGGATCCCATTCGGATCTGGATGGTGGTTCCTTGAGCCGTCGTGCGCATCCTTTGTTCCGGCGCGGCAAGCGGCCTCTGGACTAGGCACGCGACACAAGGACATCGGGGGCTCCGGCCCTTGGCATGGAGGTGGTGGCCATCTTCTTCGCCGGAGGTGGTCGGCTAGATGGTTGTGGATTCTCGCATCCAGTCCCGGCGTACAGTGAGGAAACGGGGCTGCCGGTGAAAACCGTGCTATGACTCGGGTCATGGCGGGCGATGGCGGCGTTTTTGCGTCGTTATCTTGTTGAAGACATCGCCTCTGCAGTTTCTGTCGACTTGCTTGCGCTGCTCTGGGTGAAAACCTTGATCCGGAGTTTCCGGATCGGACGATGGCGGTGCTTTTGGGGCGTCGTTTTCCCTCATGGGGGCATCGTTTTTTGAGCAGCAGCTGGATGCAGGACCAGAGGACGGATTCTTTGGTGGAGCGGTGCGGCATCTCACTCATTGATGGCGGCGGGTCTCGGCGGCATGGCGTTGTGGTGACTCTGCGTCCGATGCGCGGAGATGGACTCGCGCAGGAGGGTGACGCGGTCTGGCGTCGTTGTGGCGTCGACGGCAGCTAGACCAGGCAACATACATGCAACAGTACAGTTCTGAAGATGGATTGGTGGCAGGTGGTTGCGGCGGCCTCAGACCCGGCAGGCGTCCTGGTTGAGGAGTGCGCCGGACTAGTACGTCACCCATACCCGGCAGGCGTCCTAGATGGGACCTCAGGTCTTAGATGTTAGGTTTGGCTGCGAGGTCTGTTTGGTACTAGGCCCAGACTATCAGCATCCTTCATCTTTTGAATAGGAGTAGCGACACTTTTGTTGCCTAGACGGTGGCTTCAGTCTTACTGTTGTATGACTTTGTAAAGTCTTGTGTGAATAATTAATAAAGTGGCTGCATGCATCGTCCAGATGCAGAGGCCGGGGGTCCTCCTCCATTTCCAAAAAAAGAAAGAAAATGCAGTAGTTTTTGCAATTAGCTGATGTTCCTTCATTCCTTTTAGAAATGAAGAATGCAGAATGCAGTGGGTTGTTCCTTTGAGCTGTTGATCATGTTTTTCGTTCTGCTGTTTTGTGTGTTTTTAGAGTCCTTAACTTGGACTTAAAGCAACAAATGTTTTATGATAGAATAGTCCGAAGCTTCAAAAAGAAATATCCCCTAGTGCCAGATTGGCCTGGCTCTTTCGCAAAGACAATTTTGGACCCGTAAACAAATGGGTAAACACTGTCGGATCATCTGAACCTAGATAATTAGAAGGGAAATTTGTATCAAGTGCCACATCACCAAAGCACAGTCCGGCGATTTCTTCAGTTTGCTGGTTCACAACAGCTTACACCTTCTCTGCTAGGCAAAACCAAAAGGTCAAAAATATGCCATGAACTGCTTATATATGGCCATAACCTACACATAATATATTTTTTCTCAACAGGTTTATCGTGCTCATGTTTATTGCTCCTGTTTCCAAGTGCTCCTTTTTATGCAAAACAATCAACACTCAAATCCCACTGCAACAAAAAATAGCTTTTGTCCTAACACGTGCAGGCAACTACTTACAACCCTACTACCACCGGCCTCCTCGCATCTCCCCTTCCCCTCACGTCGCCTCCCCTCGGGCGGCGCCAGGGGCCCCCGATCCCGCGCCGCCAGCCCCTCCCTGCTCCTCCATCCCCAGCTGCCGCTGCAACCGGGGCCCTGCACTGCAGATCCAGGGCGGGTGGTCACCGCGGCAGATCCTGTAAGGCGGAGGCGGCGTCTCATGTGGGGAGGCCGGGGCGGCAGTCAGGGCAGCACCCCTGTTGCGCGGCGGCGATGGAAACCTACATGGCTGGCGGTGTGGCGGCCGCGGGCGCATGAGTGGCTCCGATTGCTGCGGATCTGGCGCCCTGTCCAGATCCGTCTCGGTACGGCCTTGGTCGGCCGGTGGCGCAAGGAGGACCAGTGAGGGGTGGCTGGAGGCTCCCTACCGGCGTGCCGACGGCGGCCCTCGTCTCCACGGCGAGGCTCCGTTCGGTTTGAGCCAGCTGCGAGGTTGGGGGGATGCGACTTCCGGTGAAAATCGCGCCGAGACTCCGGTCATGGAGGACGATGGCGTCGTCTATGACGTCATTCCCTTCTCGAGGCATCGTTGTTGCAGGTCGTGGCACCCCACTCGTGATGCTCCGGAAGAAACCCTAGATCTGGATCTACTGGATCGGACGATGATGGTACCTTTGATGACGTTTTCCTCCTAAGGGCATTGTTTTGGAGCAAGTGCTAGTTGGACGGGTCAAGCGGAAGAGTGGTGTCTCATCCACCGCAAGGCCGACGGCGGATCCTGGTGGCATGGTGTGTCGGAGGTTCGGCGACGGGCGCGTGTGGACGGATACGTGCAGGATGGTGGAGTTGTCTGGCGTCGTGGTGGCGTCGACGGCAGGCCAGGCAAGGTCAATGGGTTAGTTTCTGCTCTAGAGATGGGTCGGTGGAAGATGGCGGCGGCAGCCTCTGAGAGTGCTTCGGTCCAGTATGGGACCCAGTCCCGGTGTATGGCCGGGCTAGGTCATCCGGCTTTAGATGTTAGGGTTTGGTGCGATGTTCGTTTGGTATTAGGCCCGGATATTCGACATACTTTCATCAATGCGATAGAAGTAGCAACAGGTGTTGCCTAGATGGTGACTTCAGATTGACTGGTGTATTACTTTGTATGGGCTCTGTGAATAATTAATAAGATGGTTGCATGCATCGTCCAGATGCAGAGGCCGAAGGTTTATCCTCCTTTTTAAAAAACATGCAGGGTTTATGAGTTCGTCGTCAACTGTTGTTGCTCATGCATTTGAGATATCATTTTTTTTCCAACTTCTCATGTTGTTGCTCATACACCTGCTCCACTAACCTCTTCCTTCCCCTACCTCTTCTCCCACTCGATTGGGCAGTTTGTTGGCAGATATTGAGCGTTTCAGTATTGAATGTAACCTGCATAATCGCCTAACCTCTGTTGTTGTTTCAGAATTGATATCTTTGGGAAACACTTCCTAGCAGGCGCCTGACAGGAGCCATTGGTCAGACCGGTCGCGCACCGTCGATGCATTTTCTTCTCACGGGCGAGATGGCTTAGGCTGGCTGGTTGTAATGGGGAGTATCATATACTAGTATCATGTATATGATACCAGTGTATGATATTACCTCCCTAATGCATAGTATTATGTAGTATTTTATTTATTGTCATGCATGACACATAATAGCATAGTATTTATTATGATACTCAACCCTTTCTTTTTTCATTTAATTCTATGACACATCATCAAAATTACCTAGTTGACATGCATGATACTAGTCATGATACTATCATTACAACCAGTCTTACAAAATGGGAAATGTTTGGGGCCGGGGCACCGGCGGAACATTGGGCCGGTCTCCCTCTTCCTCGCGTCTCCTTCATCGCAGCTCCACCACATCTCGCCCAGCTCGCCGGGGCGCGCGCCGCCCTCTTCTTCTGCCCCCTCCTCCCCACCCCTTCCAGGCTTCCACATCCCTTCCCCCTCCCCCCCCC